CGTATTTCTGTTGGATAGCTGATATTTCCTCATTATTGCCGAAGTCAGTAAGCCGTATTGTCCATTCTATGTACATTTACGTACACATTTACACATGGTTGAAACACCCCCCCCTACTGGCACCGCTCACTTGTTTCCTTCTTTTCGTGCAATATGGCAAGAAATTCGTCCTATACTGTCAGCGCCAATCCTCGAACACTTCCCTCATGCTATTTCTCCTGCAACTCTGGTTCGGGCATGAGAGCTCTCAGGCTAGAAAAACGAAGCTTTACAAGAAAGGTGCCCTGAAGGACAATCTTTCACGAAGCTGTGCTTTGAAGCGGAGCCTTCATTTCTGTAAAAGAGTTTAGATGTCTATGTGAACCCAGCTTGAGATAGCAGCGGCTCGTAAACCACTGGATGCCAATCTGCTTCCTCGGTCTTCTCTACACAATGCACTTGGGAGATTCGAAACGAAGCTGATCAGAAGAAAGGATGCCTTATGACGTCAGTTCTCGCCCCAAGGCAGAACATTGAACAAGGTGGGCTGGATCTGGGGCCGCAGTCTCCGCCAGTTTTCCCCTATATGTGCCTGGCGATATGCCTTTTAGTCTTTTCGGTCAAGAGAAGACTGGGAAACGTACGTATCAAAGCGTTGAATAGAGATCACGTTCACAAACAAGGACATCCGGTCAGTAGCATGCTTGGCTTGGATTGCGGGAAGGCGTTGTTAGGCTAGAAACTGCAGTGTCAGTATGCATTCTATCTGAAGAAGAGCTGCCGGTACGACTCCTCATCTTCCGGCTCTAACCGCTTGCTCTGACGAGAAGGATTAGATACGTAACGATTTGCCAGCGCATACAGCCGCGCTGAAGTCAAGAACAGCGCTGGAGCACACTTCATCGCATGATGGGAAGTGCGTTTTTCCAAGTGAAGAACTTTTGGACAACCGGAGACGAGATGCCAAAGGGATGGCTTCCCCATTGCGCACTCTTGCCACCGGCAATCTGAAAACTCTTCGCTTTTTTGAAAAATATTTCGGACGGGTTTTAGATGGGGTAGTGGCAGCCCGCACGCAATTTTTTTGCTTCGGACGACAATAATTTCTTTTATACGCATCGCGAAACAAAAAAGATCTTTATAGTTCGCACACACTATTGTAAGAATACTCACTTGGAAACTCTAATATGCCGTCAAAACACATTTCGCCGTTAAAGTGGGTGGAGGCATAGTTTTGTTATTACCGACTAGTTTGGTCTGAGTGTGCGCCGCGCATTACGTTCCTGAGCAGAAGTGGTGGAAAGTTGAAACATATTTTAAGCAATTTTACTCTCAGCAAGCTGACGTTTATCAAGGTTTGAGAAGGTCGTAAGTAGCCTCCCACACGCCCCAGTCCTCTGCAGCACTGCATGCGTTCTGCACCAAACTGAACGATATTACTTTTGCGCTGTTTGATGTTCATTGGCCTTGTGATAACGTCCCCCCATCTCCTGTTCAGCAGTTACGTACGACCCTCTTCATAAGATTCGCACAACAATGTTGTGCACTGATTGCGGGCTGCTTTGCTTCAACTTCAACCTCAAATTCCATGAATCAGCTTGTCTTCAAATACCTGACCAAACATCTCTACCGCCAACTGAACTTTGAGCTCAACGCAGTCCACCACAAAATCGTGAAAAAGGCCATTCATTCCGATCTTCGAGAATACCCCTAAGTCGACACAGGGATCCGCTTCAGATTGTTCCTCACTCAGGATCACTATTGGAAGGCCACGCCATACAAGGTCTCAGCTCGCGGCTTATTGCTAAGACCCTCAGGACAGGTGCACAGTCCACTCCAATCGTACGCTTTCAGGAACAATTGTGCCATTCTGAGTGCGTCTTTTTCTCTGCCATCTGGCGATTGGAAAGAGGGGCTCACACAGTGATGTGTCCAGTGATGAGCGTGACAAGACAGTCGTAATATGTTGCACCGGTAGGTGGTACGACAGACCCCACGTGCGGTGGACGAGTTGTCGGGCCGCGCCTTCGAATTCGAGTGTCAAGGAACGGAGAAATCTGGAATCGCCCGTTGTGGGGCAGCTTTCGCTGCTCCAGTCGGAAACTGATGCTTGTTGAGGACTTGCTAAGTATCGCCGCATGATATGCCGCGTGTGAAGACGCAGCAAATTCCGATTGTCTCGTCCATGTCCCATCAAAATGACACCACCGATATCTTTGAGATAAAATGAGCCTTTAAGTGCTGTGTGCTTTGAATTGCGCCACAAAATGTCCATTAAAGACACATGGTACGCTCAAACACATTGAGGGTGTATGAGACTATCAGCCCCCCAGCTGTCGATGTGTCGTGGTCCCCCGCCCAAAACTGCACGGGGTCAGAGTACGGGGCCGTGGGAAAGTCGTAATTCCTCCTACACCGCCCATTTCGCAAACTCACGTTTTTACTAACACCGTCCGCGCGGCGCGTGTCGCGTGCAGCTCTCTTGGCTTTTTGCCAAGTCCTGTAATTGCGCTTTGGAATACAAGTACAACGCAATTTCTTTATGCGGATAACATTTTAGGTGCTGCAAAATAAGAACCGAAGATGATGACGAGGGCTAGAACTCAAGAGCAACTGTGCTGCTTCTGCAATATCCCTCAGAGGCCGCGCATTCCCACAGAACATGACAATAAAAACGGCCTAAGCGTCCCACTCGTTAGTTTGAAGTATTTCTATAGCTTTAGAGCCGGATCGCAGAAATGCACACGCGATTTTAATTTATTTGCGTTTCCTTAGTTTTTTTGTTTTATTTACATCTACATTCGTTGTTCTTCATTTCTAGCCTTTGTCATCTTCATCACCTTCTATTCGGACTTTGAAGCATGAGCAATACCTCAAATGTTAGGAAATTGCGTTTTGCTTGTATTGTCATGTTTTATTGTCATGTTGTCCGTTTTTATTGTCATGTTCTGTGGGAATGCGCGGCCTCTGAGGGATATTGCAGAAGCACCACAGTTGCTCTTGAGTTCTAGCCCTCGTCATCATCTTCGGTTCTTATTTTGCAGCACCTAAAATGTTATCCGCATAAAGAAATTGCGTTGTACTTCCCAAAGCGCAATTACAGGACTTGGCAAAAAGCCAAGAGAGCTGCACGCGACCGCGCCGCGCGGACGGTGTTAGTAAAAACGTGAGTTTGCAAAAACGGGCGGCGTAGGAAGGAATTACGACTTTCCCACGGCCCCGTACTCTGACCCCGTGCAGTTTTGGGCGGGGGACCACGACACATCGACAGCTGGGGGGGGGGGCTGATAGTCTCATACACCCTCAATGTGTTTGAGCGTACCATGTGTCTTTGAGTAATTGGAAAAAGGTGTGTGGACGGCAATAACTTGCCATACCAACGTATAATACTTCGCCTGTTTCGAATGATTTGCGAGATTTCCTTCCTTGCAGTTCCAGTGGTCCGTAAGTAGATAGTCGCAGAAGTTGAGAATTCTGCAAATTAAGATTATACGGAGCAGGTGTGTTGAAACACGCGCTGAAGAAAAGCTACCTACTTTTGCTTCGTCGAGGAGATGTCGGCATGTGGCGTCATTCATTACCAAAGGGTCCTCACTCACTGTTCCAACAAGGAATTTCGGATGACAAGAAGCAAGTCGCACATGCTCCAGCAGCTGCAAAATCACTGAATGAAGCAGTCTTCAGAAAATGACACTTGAATTTGTCCCTGCCTTTGGGAGGAATTTTTGCCGATTTGTCCTGGTCAAATCTGACCCATCTTGTCACAGCTGCGAAAACCTGAAAGAACGACCTGTGATTCACCACAGGAGGTAAAGAAGCAATAAAGAGTGGAAACAAGGTTATAAGTTTGTGAAGGCAGGCGGTATATAGTTGTGCGGTCGTGCGCGCAGAAGGTGAGGGGGCTATTTATTTCCGGGGTTCGGCCAGGAAGTTGGAACGAGGAATACTCTGCTTCCCACCTGCAGAAGGGTTTCGTCTGGTTGAAAGAGAGGGTATTGTATGCACTTGCTGCCCCTGCGCACTTAATTCTGCGCGCAACTTGCATACCGTATACCTCCCGTTTCCCTGAACTTGTATCTCAATAGACTGGAATTCCAAGTCTGATCTTCTTTCAGGAGTTCAATATACACTATAGTTCGCTGCGGACGGTTGGGCGTGTCAGCCAGTATGAGTGTGCACAGCGTCAAGGCCGTTCTCTGCCTTCTTGTTGAAGCGCGCATGCGACAAAAAGTGGTAGAAAACGAGTAATACGAATACAGTCATATCATTTGTTCGCTTTAAAACTGGTGGAGAACGAGTTTGGCACCGCGCCAAACGCAGCCGCACTGACACGCCCAACCGTCCGCAGAGAACTACACTATACCTCTTCCTCTGATTGCACATTTAGCTCTTCACTTGAAATTAGTTTGATTAATCGATCGAAACGAAGCTGGTTGAAACCCTCACTCTCGGCGACTTTCTAGAAAGGTGAAGCGAAATCATCGCTTAGAAACCAAAAGCTACCTACATTTTAGCATCAAAGTGCGAACCTGGAAATTCTTGGACGATGTACATGTCAGCACAGCGAAAAAGCTCCTGACAAGAATAATAATCGGCAGTCGCTTGAACTTTCGAGGCAATTCGACGGAACCAAATTCTTTTTCAAAAACTCGCAGCAGATTCCCTTCAAATAGCATCTGTATCGTTCGAGCCCTAAGATTTGGAAGCATTCCTAGCGTCTAAAAATGGTGGGCTGTGCGGTTCAAATACTACTTGCAAATTGATGAAGGCGAGTGAAGTAAAAAAAACGTAGGAAAACGGGCCTGCCATGCCCCATATAGAACCTCGTTCCAAACCGATTGATTTAGGGCGAAACACGGGCGTGGTTGGACAAGTTATGACATATTAGTGCCACCTCCTTCTCTTTATCACCTCGAAATGGAGAGAGCCAGTAGCGGAACAACCTCACCACCAGGACACTTTTAGGGCGCAGTTTGTCGACGGGGGGGGGGGCATTTTGCACTTTTGCTACTTCCCATCGACGTGTCGGCCTATCTAGACAGCCTCTTCTCGAGTTGACAGGTTTTAACATGATGGACTACCTTGTTCCAGCTTCACAAGAGTTCACAGGTTTCGCCAGAGTGAGACATGTAAACCGGAACTAAGGAAGCAATGATAGTACAAAATGCCCTCCCCTCCACAAACAGCGCCCCTTTTTTAGAAATGGTGTTGGACGTTGCCATGGTCATTGGGCGGTGCCGAGGCTCGTTGGAAACGGGTCGCGCTTCTTTATGGGTGTCAAGCTGCGGAAGTGGTACATGCTCCATTTGCACGCCACCGCGTTGTGATTAACTTCTGCTCTGTGCGACACCCCCTCCCCCCACTCCAAATGCGAGTTTAGCTACGACCCCTCCCCACAAAAAAGAACTCTTAAAACGGAAAAAGTAGATGGTACAAACAGTACACTTAGATGCTGGATTTTAGCGCACATTCGGAGATTGCGGGCGACCATTCAAAATGCTTTTTCTCAGTTATACAAGCACGAACTGTTCTGCAGTTTTTTTCCAAAACAAGTCAGATACTTCGGAAAAACCTTTTTTCGAACATACTTTTCTGGGAGTGGAGGTTCTTCTGAGGAGGAGAAAGCAGGGCTGTGAAGATCTAGGTATGTAAGTACTGACTGCGCCCAATTTCCTTGTCAAACAAATTCCCCGTTTTGACTCCTTGTGACATTTCAGTGTCACCTACGTGTAATCTTTGATAAGCCAAATAACACTGTGGGAAACCAGAAAATTCCCTTTTCGAGGAAGTGTCCCGCTGTTTTTTCAAGTTGTTCCTCAAGCCCAACATTCACAAAAAACTCGTCATGGTGACGAATATTTATTATTTGGTAACTCGCCGCGGGGCTGTTAGCAATACCAGTCGGCTAGCGTTTTGGCACGATTGTCCCCTTCGTAACCGCCACTCAATTGAAAGGAAAAACCAAGTACCGTACCTCCAGGATCAGACCTTTGAAATCGAGAGATCTGCTCATAAACACCCATACCTTCTCGCTCACGGATGACTTGACCTCATTTAACCCCGCGCTGATAAAGTCCAGACCCATAGTTGCGTAGGTGGTTCTAAGCAAAGAATTCCCTGGTTCCTCAATGCTACTTTGACACAGCTTCTCATTTAGAGCTTCTCATTTAGCACTGCGATTCAGTCAACACACATGGACTTTCCAAAGGCCGAATTATGGTTCTCCTCCGACAATGTCTTCCAGACCGCAACACAAGTCTGTACACAAGAGGAGGAGAGAAAAGTCCGTGGGAGTGGCACAGAGAATTACTGAGCTAATGGCTACGAAATTCTCCACCTTTGCATAGGAAAGGAGCAATTGGTGCAGCCAACAGACTCAGTTGAAACTTCCTGAAGCGAAACATTCTGTGCAACATCCTTTATATCCGGTGAAGTAAGCACTTCCATGAAGGAAGTGTCTGAGGAGATCGGGTCTGGAAACATTGCTAGTATAGTAGGAGGTTCCTCCCGACAAACTGAAGCGACGTCTCATTCGAAATCGTCTCAAGGTCGCATATGTGGAGCGTTGAACTATGTAGTTGCAGGTGAATATTTATTGAATCCCAGGGACTGTACGAGTAGAGGGTGGTCTACAGAATTTCCTTTATAATTTAAATAATTAAATAATAATTTACAAGGGAGGTCTTTCAGGTCATGGCGCGCTTTTCAGAAATGGTTTGTTGCATGTTGTAGGGGTCCATATAAGGATCACAAAAATGGGTTTCGTTTTTGCTATGCATTTCTGGGAAGGTCAAAAAATGGGTGAAAAGTTTGCTGAGGAAAAGCGATTTTGAACCATTTTTTAGGCTCTTCTATTTCTAATGTCGAGTATGCATAGCAAATGAGACCTTCGTCGACACTGCATCGAAAACAATACAAGGTGAAAAAAGTACTTTATTTGGCACACAGTGAGGCAGCATTGTAGTTTCTCAAGTGATTCTCGCAGCATCCCAACCCGTTATGGTGGGGTATTCAGAGCCATGTTGGCGCCAAATGGCCTAGACGATAATTATAATGGTCAGAACCGTGATCAGGGCCGTTAAGGGCCGTTAATAACCTCTATATACAGACTTTCAGCGAAATTTCTCCTCGAGCTGTTCGAGCTATGATGGTTGGTCTTGTTGAACTGGTGGCTATCAGTATCCTGTACAAGTAGTTATCCAACTTCGATACCTGGACCTTTCTATTTACTAGTATATACCCTCATAACTAACACCTACAACTTTGAAAAAACCCGTTATAATACAACAAAGGATAGATATATACCAGTTTGGCTAACGCGCAGTACTGCGCGCATGGTTGAACCTATGGTACTGATCAGGGGTTTTTCTGCGGAGCACAACACTTGTCCTAATTCCCATTTTTCGAAATACGGCCCATTTCATCGTATTTTTCCCTTTCAATGAACATTTACCAATGACTGGCGCTTATCACATTTTTGACAACACTCGCCATTCGTTGGAAATAGGACAGCCTAGCGGTTGGAAGAGTCTCGAGGGTAATAACATCGATATCATGGTGAAATGTCCTCACATCCTAGTACATCATTTGAGCAGCTTTCGGGGCTTTTACTTTTTGTTGACACTACAGTTTAGCGGTCGAATCAAATCCGACTATATCGCCAAGGGATAGAAACATAGGAACATGTTGGCTCACTGAACCTTTGCCCACTGATTCGTTGGCCACGGTGATTTGAGAATATACGACTCCTAAAAGCCCTTGTCAGACACTATCAGAACTTATCTCCCACTAATTTTACCCGCGTTATGAAGTCCATGCAGTTCCCTTTCTAAAGCCCCTTATGGTATCTTATCAGCTGTTATCACTTCCTGCCACCCACCAATAATGTTCCTGCCCGACCCCCTACATCACTTATCAATTTGAGCGCACTATCGCTGTTTTGAAGGAAGTTATGAATTTCCGGTCAAACACACATACAGACGCCCACTGTGAGAGGCTCCGCCCACTTTGAAGAAGCCCCGCCCACTTTTCAAAAATGGTGCAAATCGGCAGTATAGAGCCTTGGCTTGCATGCTAGGGTATTGCTGATCATTCGGAATAAACTTTGCCGGATTTTCTTGTTCCGAGTGACGTACGAGACCCTAACATGCAAGCCAAGTCTCTATACTGCCGATCTGCACCATTTTTGAAAAGTGGGCGGGGCTTATTCAAAGTGGGCGGAGCATCTCACAGTGGGCGGGGCTTCACGCAGCAACCCTAAAATGCAAAAATTTTGAAAAAATCATCGAAATTCCG